TCGACCTTGATCATGATGAGTTTTTTCAGATCTCCCTGCTTCGTACGCAGGCGTGACATCTCCTTCGACAAATCTTGGCATGCTTCCAGCTTCTCCTCTACGTCCCGCACTCTGCTGTCCTCAAGGTCCTGGGTCAGGTCCCGTTCGATAACCTCACCGAGCTCATCAAGCTCGCAAAGAACCCAGTCGTCTGCATCTTCAAGATCTTCTTTATCTCGTCCACCCTCTTTGTAGTTCCGTCTGTGGCCCTGAATGAAGGCCGACAGCGATCGCGCATTCAGACCGAGTGTGTCGATCATCGAGTTGATATCGCGATATACCGCCTCCACTTGAGAAGGAATCGTCTCTTGGGCCGACGGCACGGCATTTGTATGGGCAATGAAGTCGTCTATAACAAGAGTTGGTTCGATCTCTGAGGAGAGGATTGCCTGAATCTCATCGTCTTCCTCGTCTTCCAAAACCTTCGTTTCTTCGGCCTCGCGACGAGAGCGAGCTAGCCTCTGCTGTTTGAGTTGAGGGTCTTCCTCGGGTCTGCTAGCAACAGTAGACATGCCCATGGACCCACCTCTTTGTGAAGCACTCAGAAGCTGGGAGGCCATGCCAGGAGCACTGACCGATCGGGATGCATTCAGCTGCGACATCCTGTGAGGGATGGCCGTTCTTACTGGACTGGGAGACCGAGGGCTTGTAGCGCTCGGTTGAGGAAATACAGGGCCAGTGCGCCTCATCTCCCCAAAAAGGCCGCGGGGCCTCTCGGACTGTGCTTGTGATGTGGAGAACGCATTTCCCGCAATGCCACCAAAGGAGCTTTGCGGCGTATACCCAGGGGTTGCTGTGAGGCCAGTAGACGAAGGGCTAATGTCTTTGCCTACAATGATACCACTGCCCTCGGACTCGACATCATCTTCAAGATCGCTGTCACTTCCGTCCTCTGGCACCGCAGGAATCGTCGACGGACCTCGGGACGTAGCTTTGGAGATAAAGTCTGGGGGTAGGGGCGCATCCTCCTCGACGGAGCTTACGGGAGAACTATCTGACGAGCCCTCCGAACCATTCTGTTCTGAACTTGCTGGAGGCGGCCGTGGCGTAGCCGTAGAGTCTGCAGGAAGCGGCGACGTCTCAGGGGCACGGTTCTGCGCTGACTTGGGCGTGGAGGTGAAGTCGGGGGGAAGTGGTGCACTGTCTCCCTTAAAAACAGACTTACTGCTACCGTCCGTATTGGTCCCAGACGAAGAATCTCCGATGGGGTAGGCATTCCTGCTGGTTGACTCTGGGGGCAGCGGTGCATCTTCCTCGACTTTGATCTGTGGGGGTTTGCTCCCAAAGATGGAAGACGACGGCTGGGGTGTCTTGAACAAGCTGCCACTGCTGCTGGTTGTGGTCGAAGAGAAGCCGGCAAAGATGCTGCTCTTAGGAGCCGTTGCAGGGGTCTCGGAGGGAACGAATCGATTGGGCGCAGGTGTTGTAGTAGGCGTAGTGGATTGAAGCTCATGGGGGCTGAATGGAGACTTGGGTGGTTCGGCAACGTCATCATTTTCACGGCCTGCGGGAGACTTTTGCGAAGCAGACTGTGAGTTGGCGATGCTGAACGGATTTTTCTGTTGCCCAGACTTGACGCCGTTGCCAACACTGAACGGCGATTTGCTTGCTTGAGAAGCTGTGCTGCCGCCAAGGCTAAACGGTGATTGTTTCTGCTCACCGAGGCTGAACGGCGACTTCTTTTGCTCACCGCCAAGGCTGAATGGCGACTTGGATGTTTCGCCCGGAGAGGTGCTGCCGAGGCTAAACTGTGACTTCTGCTGTGTACTGCCAGTGCTGAAAATTGATTTGCTTTGGCTGGGTTGGGTGCTTCCTAGGCTGAATATCGACTTGGCTGGCTCTGTTTGGTTGTTGCTCATGCTGAATAGCGACTTGGTCGGCTGCTGAGGCTCAGCATTCGCTGTGCCGAATGGTGATTTGACTGGTTGCTGAGTCTCGGTGCCGGCTGTGCTAAAGGGTGACCTTGTTGTCTGGGAGGCCTGGGGTGTCGCCTGGGATGTCGACTGCGCACTTGTCGAAGTTTGTTTCGCGGCGTCACCAAGCGCGGCACCGAAACCATTGCCAAACAAAGAGGAGCCACTCGAGGGTTGCTTCTCGTCATTATCTTTCTGTGACGGATCGGGTTTGAAAGAGCTTTGTAGCTTGAAAGGCTCCGACTTCTGGAAAAGACTTGTACTGTTTGTGCTGGGAGCGGGGAAGGCAGTATCAGCTTTTGTTGATGAGGCAAAGGGGGATCCAGATGCTGGCTTATTGCTCGCAAAGATGCTTCCACCATTGTTGGTACTGGCCCCAGCCGAGGCGAACCCACTCGATCCGGCAAAACTGGCGAAACCTCCAGAAGCTGGGGCAGCAGGCCCGTTTGTATTTGTGTTGCTGCCAAAGGTGCCCTTGTTCGCAAACCCAGACTGTCCGAAAGCAGGAGAGCCCGAAGCTGCAGCACCTCCAGCGCTAGCGGACGTGCCCCAGGGCGAGCTCTTCGCACCAAGTTGAGCTGACTGGCCGAAACCGATGGCACTTGTCTGGCCAAAGGCAGGCGTGGAAGAAGAAGGACCGCTTCCGAAGGAACTACTGCCGAATGCTGGTGTAGATTGAACTGGGGCAGCGGATGACGAGTTCTGTGATGTACCCCATGGAGATGGCTTTGATCCGAGCGCAGACGCACCTCCAAAGGCGGGGGCGGGAGACCCAAAGGCAGGCGTGCCGCTGGAGCCGAAAGCAGAAGGGGTAGTAGATGTGTTCCCGAACGCAGGCGGCACCACAGTCGCCGCAGGTGCGGATACGGGCGCCGAACTTGCCATGGTTACAGGAGTTTCACCTGTGCCAATGCCGGGGTACGAAGTTCCTTGTCTGATAGAATCCTCATACACAACCCACCACGAGCAAAGAACACCCTCGTTGTTGAGAACCCAGTACCCAGGCAGCGGGCCAGGCGAGTCCTCAATTTCCTCATCGGCCGGCAGAGGTTTATATACCTTTTCTTTACTGGACAGGTCCAGACTGACACCGATGGGCACTGTGTTGTCAAGAGATTCGCTCATGGGTAGTTGAGCTCGTTTCGAGTCGTCAAGAAGCTCAGTAGTGGTGAAAACATTTGTGATGGCCTCGGCTGGCTTGTCCGGAGACAAGGCCTTTTTTGACCTGCTGAGAAGACCAATATCGGGCGACGCCGTGGAAGAGACGATAAGGAGGTCCTGCAGGTCTGGCGGGAAGTCCTTCAACCTGAGGATAGAGTGATGTGGCGCCTTGTCGGCGCCGAATGGATCGACAGGATCGGTGAGCTTCTGGAAGGTGTAAGTTGAAGGGGGCTGCCTGCTGATGATGTGGTATGTTGACGACGGAGGTGTTTCAGTCGCGTTAGTGTGAATAACGAGCAGAACGTGGTTCTCAAGCCAGGTGAGCGACGCAACTACCGGAAGGTTAGCGCGATGAGTAACCCCTCAAGTGTTCACGTATAACATACCATGAGCGTTGGAGACACTGGGCGGTTTGGGAATCTCGGCCTTGGCCTCTCCTTCTGGAGTCATCTGATGGATTGTCCCATCTGCCAAGCCGGCAACTAGCTGTTTACCTTTCGTACTCCAGCTGATGCAGCTGACTTGTGTCTTCAGCGCGTTGCTTATCTGACGCTCCTTCAAGTTGGCCATGTGCAAGCTGCCGTTCGTGGTGACGATGGCGCAAAGCTCCGCCTTCTCAGGTGTAGGGTTCGGAACGAGAGCGCGCAGTGTCTCGCCATTCGTCGAAAGCTCAAACACCGTTTGCGTATTACCTTGGAGAAGAGATTGAACTTCATAAACAGCCAAGCCACCGCCGCTCTCAGCAGATAGAATCAGATATGTTTCGTCCGCTGTAAATGCTAGCTGGGAAACACGCATAGACAAGGGAAGTTTGAGCTGGGGCTCGAACAACCGGACGTCTGAGTCGCTTTGCTTCTCTCCATCGAAAGCTTTACGCACTGAATCGGTTGTTGCGATTATGATGCTGTCCGGACTGGCAGCTGCGACAAGGCCTTTATGCGCCGCGATGGCAAGAAGGGATGCTGTGTCGGTAGGAGGGGTGGACCAGGGGGATGTCAGTTGCAGCTTCGCATCGCCTGCAATGGACTTGAATCCTAGAACCTAAATAAGCTGTTAATTGCCCTACCATGGCAGTGACAGAAGCAGCGTGCCGACTAACCTCCGTCTGGATGAGCTCCAGTTCGGGCCCTTGGGTAACACCACCGGGGGAAGCAGCGCTACCCATGGAAGCGTTGCCCTGGTTCCCGAAGCTGCTAAAAGCCATGATTGTTGCTAGGTAGCCGGCGGATTGAGGCCTGGCGAGACCCTTAGCATTCGGGGAGAGGTTAATGGATATCGTTTTGGCAAGCGTGTTGATGCAATGAGGTGGTGTTTTTTTGTTCAGACCGTTGGCCTGTGCACCTTCAACGTGAGAAGGCAACAGCGCGCTCCTGGTTGGTCAGAGGAAGCGCCTGTGTCAAGGAGTGTCAGAAGGACATGAAAACACGGGGAAACTTGCGCAAGGAATATGGGATTGTGTCAGACAGGTTGGAGGTCGAGAGGTTATATGAATAGCAAGAAAGACTCATGTTTCCTACTAAGGTTCCCTTCGAAATGCTTAGAGTCGCACTTGCCCAAGGTGAGATTTCGAGCTCTGTATGTTATCACGTGTAGAAGCTTGGGCCATTCTGCTGTTGGCCCCACTACCACCAATCAGTGCTCTCGAACCGATTAGATGTGTCAGGGGGCCTTGCATGAGTGAGCTGGAGCTCCAGGCGACCGCGCCTGAAGGAAGGCAGCTTTTGAGCCTCGTCATCCAACGCTGCCTCTCCCCGACGACCGCCCTCAACGCATACACGCCATCCACGACATACTCAATCCATCCACGAGACGAAACGACGCGCGGAATCCTCTCAACCTTCCAGCAAATAAAATATAGACCGAGCGGGAGACACCGCAATTGCCATCATGCCTGGCTTCGACTTCACAAACTACAACCGCAATGCGGCCCTCCACGCCCGTGGCGTGCCCCTGCCCAAGGCGACAAGCACAGGAACGACCATCGTGGGATGCATATTTGACGGAGGTGTTGTCGTGAGTTCCCCCCTGACACCCCCTCTCTCGTCATCACCCGAACCAGCCGTCTTCGACTCTCCTTCTTCTCGTTTGGCTCCCAGACGTCGCTCAGTACAGTCGCTGATCCCCCCTCCACCAGATCGCCGCCGATACAAGAGCAACTTCAGGCCCCATCGTTGCCGACAAGAACTGCGAAAAGCTTCACTACATTGCTCCTCAGATTTGGTGCGCCGGCGCTGGCACCGCCGCTGACACCGAGTTCACCACGGCCATCATCTCGTCGAACCTCGAACTCCACGCCCTCTCCACAGGCCGCAAGCCCCGCGTCGTCACCTGCATGACCATGCTCAAGCAGCACCTCTTCCAGTACCAGGGCCACATTGGCGCCTACCTCGTCGTCGCCGGCTGCGACCCAACAGGCACCCACCTGTTCACCGTCCACGCCCACGGCTCCACCGACAAGCTCCCCTACGTCACCATGGGCTCCGGCTCCCTTGCCGCCATGTCCGTCTTCGAGACGCAGTGGAAGGCCAACCTCACCCGCGATGAGGCCGTCAAGCTCGCCAGTGACGCCATCCAGGCCGGTATCTTCAACGATCTCGGCTCCGGCAGCAACGTTGACGTGGCCATCATCACCCAGGACAAGACGGAGCTGAAGCGCGGCTACGTCAAGCCCAACGAGCGGAGCGCCAAGCTCAAGAGCTACGCCTTCCCCAAGGGCACGACGGCTGTGCTCAACGAGAAAATCATCAAGAAGAACGAGATCGGCCGCTACGTCAGCGTCACCGAGGTGACATCTACCGGCGAGGCTATGGAGGTCGATTCTTAGGGGCAATGATGCAATGCCGATGGAAGATCACACTTGTACTGTACCAACATGAGAATTGCAGCAATAGAGGCGTGATTTGAGATACATGGTTGCTGTGTGACAAACTACTCGAGATATGACCGTTTGGGGGCAAGACCCACTCCGAGTGCATGCGGTCGTTCGATTTTCGAAACCTAGTGTTGCTGTCATCTGCTAAAGCAACACGAAGCCTACCTGCTCTCTGGAAGCATCGGAACCACCAGGAGTGTATTCCAGTCTAGGCTTTTTCCAAGGCTTGCACTGTGCAAGCAGGTGACGAGGCGTTTGATTAGTGCAACGAAGAGAAAAAAGCAACCTTGAAGTGCCCCCCTCGTTCTGTATACCTATGTAAGGAGCCTTACTACACCAGCAAGATTTGCGGAGGTAAACACATCTGCCAAGGGCCGGGGTGTCAATTGAAACCTCACGCCAAAGCAGCATGGGTAGGCTGTCGTTTGCTTATTCACATGCGAGGGTACAACCAAAGAGATCTTATGCGAATCATTGGCATATATGGGATTACTATTTACTCTCGGCGTTTGCCTGGCTTTTGCCTGTTTCATGATAATCCTTTATGCAGAACGCGGAGGTTTATGAGAACTAGCCTCCCCAAAATGTAGTTAAAATGGTCCATCTACAAAGAGAAAAATAAAAAGGGGGTATGTTTGATGACAAAGTAGCAAGAGGAACCCAGGAAATGAAACGCTGAACAGACAGGCCAGAAGCCCTCGCTAGAGTCGCTCATGGTCCGCAACAGCGACGGGCTCTGTGATATTGCTCGTTTAGTGGATGTCCTTGATAAAGGCAATAATGACGGCGGATCAAAGCTCCCAACCGCCAAACATGTAACTCCAAATGTCAACAGCCTGCCGCAGGTGACTGACGCCCGAAAACTCCTTAGATGCTGGGTATGTTGGTAATGGTTATGTCGATGTTGATTCCTCGTGATCCGTTAAATGGCGGGCTGTTTGGTTGCACAAAGATTTGCGCAGTGATGGCGGAGCTTATGAGCCACCCGTCTTGATGCCGAAGATATTGCGTGTTCTTGACTTGCTGCGAACTTTTTTCAGTTCTTTGCTGTCATCGTTATATTTTGACTTGTGAATCCTGCGAAATGTCAGATCAATACGATGTATCCCTTGCGGCTTTACTTGAGTCACATACCAGCTGTTTCCCACCATGCTCATCCCTTTGGACTCGGCCTCCCTGTAGAACTTGGCGGCTTTCTTCAAATCTTTTTTGCACCCAACGCCCTGCGCATAGCAGTAGCCAGCCTCCGCCAATGCGTCAAGATCACCCCAGGCTATAAAACCATCAGTATGTCGACTTTCGAACCATAAAGGCGAGTTACTCACATCCAGCAATTTCGAAGCATCTGAGCGCTAGAACTTTATCTTGCTCGATGCCCCAGCCGTTCATATGACTGACGCCAAGTTCGTACACGGCGAGAGCGAATTGAGCTTTCCGGGTCTTTCTGTCCAGGACATCGACATGCTTGCCTTGCTTGACTTGGCCTTCATCGTCTGCAATTTCGTTGCTAACGAGCTCAGAGGCCTTTCTCAACCATTCCACTCCCTCGCGTTGGTTTGGGCGCATGCCCCATCCGTGCCTGCACGCAAGGGCATACAGAAGCATGCCCGTAGGATGATTCTGTTTAGCGGCGTGTCGGAGGTGGTAGGTGGACTCATTGACAGATCCATTTTCATGACACTCAATACCTTTGGCGAGATGTTCTTCAGCCGTCATATCCGCGGCCGAGGGAGCAATCGAATGTAAAGACTTCGCCGGCTTGACGGTACTAGCCGAGTCAGAAGTGGCGATTGAGACGGCCGTCTTTAATCTGGCACTGTCGTGCAGAGGGGAGGTCAAGGGGCGGCCCCTGGTCTCGTCCTCAGAGGCGCGGCTGCTCTCAGTTGATGTCGACTTGGTTTGGCGACGGCTGTAGCCAAGTGCATTGCGCTCCATGCTTCTCTT